GAAATTAGATGCAGATTTTAGACCCAATCTACCAATCTAACCCACCCCACCCTCAAATGCAAGGGTATGATTGGGGAGGGTTTGGATTCTGAAAATCCAACCTGCAATGAGTTTTTAGAAGGGCATGGGTTGAAAGGACTAGGGAGACAGGTAGGGTCTAGAATTCATAAAACCCTCCTCAAATCTGCTCCATTCCCATCCCTAAACTTTGGTGCCACCTTTCCTTCTTCTATCTTGGATTTTAAGGAATTTCATCTTTTTTGTTGCGATAGTGAAACGCTTGCATGTATTTTTCTACATCAATCAACTCCTGCAAAACCAAATGAGTAAGTAGAAAATAAGCAGAAAATGCATGTAAACCTTTTGTTGCAGGTATGGAAACAAAAAACAAAAAAAAAGAAAGAAATTTCGTTAAAAACCCAAGTGGAAGAGGGGAAAATGTCGCCAAAAGCTTCAAAAACTGAAAACAAGCATGCATAGAAAACTATTTTCCACCGAAATCTCAAAAGAAAATGCATTAACATGTCAACACAAATATAACAGATAATGAACACATACCTATATTAATATCGATTCCAATGTAAAGCTCCAAGAAGCAACATAAAGAAATACTAAACACTACTGTTACGTTACAACTACACAAAATCACAATTAATCCTCTTGGAATCAAGGCAGAGTTTCTGTGGAGAGAGAGAGAGAGCCTAGAATGTCTTCGGTTGATTGAATAGACCTTTGTGATCCATCAATATATCTTAGGAATGACAATGGGGCGGGGGTCATATTCCCCGTTCTTCACCCCGACCCCGATTCTCAAATAAATCAATGCCCCGGCCCCTCATCCTGATCCCCATAGAGGATAAAAGTTGTCCTCCATCCTCGATTTCCAACAGGGACAAGTTCTCTGTGGGGGCCCAAATCCTTAGAATTTTTTAGTTAACAATATCTTTTGAAAAATAAATTTGTTTAAAATAAATAAAAATTTTAAATATAAATAATATTGTAAATATGTTTTGATTTATATATTATGAATAATATAAATAATATCATATATATAATAATATATATTTAATATGAATAATACTTGATATATAATCAGGATCGGGGCGGGGTGAGGACCTCACTCCCCATTCCCGACCCCTTCGGATTGAGGAATGTATCTAGTTCGGTTCACAAAATACTAAACCATGAAAATTTTGACCATCCAAACATTTTGAACTGTCCAAACTATTTGAATTGGTTTTGGTTTGGATTGGGTTCAACCAAAAACCAGTCAATTGATACCCCCAACCAACGACCAATAGTAAAGGTACATTGGCAAATTTGTCCAAATCCTCTAAAGCTAAGCCCATGTTTGGGAGTGCTTATCCTAATAAGCACTCTTGAGTGATTGGTGAAAAAGCACTTATTTCAAATAGGGGCAGTATAGGTATTTTCAAAATAATGTGGCAGACCAAGATGGGTCAAAAAAGAAATAAACACTATAAAATAAACTCAAAATTTGGGCTTCTTGAATAAGTGCTTATTTTTAGGAATAAGCATTTAGGGTATGTTTGTCAAATAAGTATTTGTTTTTAACTATTAGTGTTTGTGAGGTCTTTTCTCAAACCAATTATACTTATTTTAAGTATTTATTTGTATTGCAGTGTTTGGTGAGGTACCTATCTCATATGTACTTATATTTGCAAAAATGATAATTATAACCCTAACTTTAACATAGCCATATATTAGATAAACACAAAAGACAAATAAGTAAATAAATAAATACTTATCCCATAACTAAACTTATTTCCATGTACCACGTCCATTGCAATAATGGTGCAAGGAAGAGAGGAGAGAAAGGGACGAAGAAAGAAAAAAGAGAGAAAGAGAGAGAGGAAGAAGAAAAAGAAAGAGAAAATTAAATAAATAAATAAATAAATAAAAAGGAGAGAGAGGTGGTCGTGGTTCAAGAAAGACTCAGTTATGCCAATCGAGGAAGGAATAGGAGAGAGGAGGAGGGGGAGAGAGAAGGTGGTGGCAATGGTTCTGTGGAAGGGTGCTTAATCACCATTCCCTACTACTGGTTCGGGTCTCTATTGGAGGAGAAGGAAGTAAACATTGATCTTTTGAAGATGAGGGTAGTCCGTGGAACATGAACTAAACATGAATAAATACTTATTTGAATATACACTTCAAAAAGTCACCCAATTCTAGCTTATTTTTTAAGTGCTTATTTTGAAAATAAGCACTTGTTCTATGCTTTTTTGTTGAACATGAATAAACACTTATTTTCCACTTATCATGTGATCCCACCACTTACGTACTGAATGTTCCCAAACATGGGCTTATCCATATGCATATATTAAAATGGAATGTGTCAAGATGTCACTTTCTTGCTTTCCTGTTTCTTCTCAAAAGCACTTATCTTTTTATTTTGTTTTTTTAATTTTTAAATTGAACAAAATAACTCAAGTGGCCAATCACCTCTAAGACTTTTAACTTTTCTCATTAGCTCATCATTAACTTTCTCTCTTCTTTCCCTATTTACTCTTTTAATTATCTCTCCTCATTAATTATGCCACTAACTCTCATTCAATAGTTCATGCCACTAATTACCTCTCCTCTTTATTAGTCCAATAAATTGCCTAAAATTCATTAACTTTATCTATATTAATATCCAATTTCAATTCAACTATAATTTTGTAAACATTACAAATATTTACATTAAATTGTAATTATTAATAAACATTTATCATATTGAAATGGAGTTTCAATGAAATATAATGAGGCTAAATAATCTACTTCTATTTAAAAGATAGTTGATTTTTAAGTTAATTAATCAAGAAATTTGCATTTCATAATAAATAAATATTAGTTTTTGCATCTAGTCAAATTTTCAATTGTTTATGTCAGATAAGGTAACTATTTTAAGCTTATTTCCCAAACACAAATAAATGTTTATTGGTGTGGTCCTGATTCCTGACCCAAAATAAGTGTTTATTCGATTTATTCAAATAAGCAGTTAAAAGCACTCCCAAAGTTAACCTAAAGAGATATACAACACTAAAAGACCCCCCAAAGGGGCAGGCCATCCTAAATGGGGGCCGAAGCACAGCGATTTCTAACCCCACACATACAACTTATAAGCCATGTTTAGTGAAAAATCAGAAAAGTCCCTAAAAACAATGGTGATGCTCCATGCCAGTCATAAAATACATATGGCCCATACATTCAATATCTCCCTGAACATTTATAGCTGGTGTGGGGCATTATCATTGGCCTACACAGCAAATCCGAATTCCAAGAGGACTGCAAGTCAGAGTCATATGAATACTCTTTTGGCTTTTTAAATAACTTATTCACGGCGTTTTAAATCAACTGAACAAATTAGATGGGTTAAAGGAAAAAAAAAAAAGAAAGTCCCGTTTGGCGAATCTTTTCACGTGGTTATTTAGTTCAACAGTCGACAATTTTATTTGTTTTTTTTTTGTTTGATTGGGTGAAGATTTAGTCACTGAAAGATTACATTCTGAAGTCCATTTTGGATTAAATTTGGGAAATTCCAACTGAATTTTTCATATTGCCTTTATGCAAAAGATACACCTCCAACCAAACGGTCTGTAGACTATCAAGATTTTTATATAAAAGTCCATTTCATTTTTTAGTTATTAAAACTTGCAAAAGACCTTTCAAAAAAAGTCCATTTCATTTTTCAGCAATATAATAAACTTCAGATGATAGAACTTCAGTAGTCATTGCAGAATGCCAATCAAACCATTCACTGAGTCACTAGCCAATGAGATGGCCACATCATCTTCCACGTGGCTTGAAAGAAAGCATCTGCTGTGACAGCAAAAGCATCTGCTGTGACAGCAAAAGCATCTGCTGAACAGCCTAGAAGACCATGCTCAGCTCCATTTAAATTAATCCTTATTAGCTAACAACATTAAATTATAAGAGAGGATGAAGCCTACCACATTCTTCCAAGTTATTACTGATTCTCTGATTAGAGAGACTAATAATCAATTTATGATTAATTAGATTAAGGATGTCATGTTATCATTATTCCATCCTCCTCCCCCTAAACAATAAATGCAAGTTGGTAGGACTCACGTGCAGTGGACTCTAGTAATTAATAACACCCACCAGTGGGAGTGGGTCCCATCTTATACCCATATCCAAGATTTGGGGTAAATCTACGTGTAACTCATGATCTTTAGACCAAAGGCTGAGAATTAAAGACGTAATGACATGGACCCCACTCTTCTGCCCCCAGCTTTTCAGCGGGCCCCACAAAAAGTCAACCTGATCCAAAGCAACACCAAACCATGAACCATCCAATCCCCAATCCTCAGTCCTCACCTTTTTTATGTGGTCCCCACTTTAGTACCCACTTCTTTCCCTCAGCGATTACGAACATGCGTTGGAGAGATGAAACGTCGTAATACTTGCATTGGCCAAGTGCTTCGACAGTGGCAGAGTGCTTAAAAGCTTAGAGAGGGGGAGAGAGAAAACCCAAAACCACGTGAAGGATTGGGCCTGGGCCTGGCCACTTGGGCGTACGACTGAAATGATGATGGGCTGGAGAAAGAGACAAAAGGCAGAAACGATTTGCTGGAGAACAGCCCAAAAATCATAAAATAACGTAATTAGAATAGTGGATTTTTACCGAGCCAAACAAGTTTTTGACTGTCTGAAGATTGTATTTTGGGGACCACCGACCACACTAACCAAGGTCAAGAACTCGTACTATGTCATGGGCAAAACTACACACCAGGCGCAGTTTAGTCTAATCAGAGCATACATCGAAGGGGTCAGCCCCCGACGCGGCGCCATCAGTAGCCAACCCAGCCAACGCATCACTCACTTGCCTCCTCCGCCTGACACCGTCGGCGCGTCAGAGGCGTTTATGCCTGCCATGCTACCATGCGCCTTCCTTCCCTCCTCTCTCTATTAATAATTTCCCCATCAAATACTCTGTTGTCTGTTCTTTGTTTACCAGTTCGTACAAGCTTATGCAATTCCAAAAAAGACCAAGGTCAAATTCATTAATGGCGAAATCACCCTTGATCAAAGTCAATATAAACCGCCCAAAATGATCCCCTGCTACGTTCCGGTACAATAAAAGGTACAACATCAAGAAAAATACCATGATATTCGTCTCGTTCCGGTTCCGGGACCCACCAAAAGCAAGAAATTAGATCAACGGCAGATACAGAGCACACATATACATAGCCATGTATACATGTACACATAAGTATGTCTGTAAATAATAATTAGTTAATAATTTATGTAAATTAATATTTTTAATCAAAAGAAATCAAATGGAGACCAACGAAGAAACCAACCAAATCCACCAGAGTCCGAAGTCTCCATCCAACTATTCGATTCTCCCATTTCACTCCCTCTGCGAATAACTTTTTCTCCTTTTCGTTTCTTTTTCTTGATTGAAAGTTGGAAATCTGCATGAGCTCTCTCTCCTTTTCATGGCTTCTCTCTTACTTTTTCCCATTTCTTATTGTTTCAGCCTCTCCGAAAGTCCACTCCGTAAGAAGCACTCGCCATCTTTTTGTCTCATGTTTCGATTTTCACCACATTTCACAGGTTCAGTTTCCTTCTCTTTGTTGCCGGACAAGACTCGCCGGCATTAACGATGACAGAAGGAGAGGAAGAAGATGAGAGTGAGATACTGCTAGTTCTGAGACTGCTCTCGTAGCTCAAGAACGCAGCAGCGTCAAGCACCCCGGCTGGGCTCATCGGCGGACTCTTGCCTTGACCCGTCGAACACATAATCTCTTGAACCAGCTCATAACACTTGGACACTCTCTCCTGCATTTCAACAAACGAAATCCAATAAGAAAATCAAAGAACTGAGTAATTGAGGTTTCTGGGGATTTCCCTCCGCTTCTGTATTGCTTTTTGTTACCTGGTTTAGATGGAACGAAGAAGAACAAGTGTCGAAGGCGCAGTCGAAGTTAATGGTCTGGGTTTCTCCAACAACGGAGATTGCAACAGCTAATGCTATCTCTGATGGCCGGAATTCGAGGAATTCTACGCCTGCTCAATCAAGATAAACATAGAAACAGAATAAGAAATCCATCCTTTTAGATTTTGATATCAGAATGTGGGAACTATAAACAGAAACAATGGTGTATAAACCTTTTGCGGTGATTAAAATCAGCTCCACAGAACGATAAATCAGAGATTTAGGGATTGTGTGTTCCAGGTCTTTGAGTTTGTAAAAGAAATATTCGATGAAAGAAAGAGGTGTGACTGCGTTTGTTCTCCATTTTAATATTGAGAGTACCAAAAGCTCCATCCTCTGAACCGTTCGAGCTTCGAATACCGGCTTCTTTTCAGTCACCTGCAGCTAGATAAGGAAGGAAAAGACCATTTTAGGGTTCTGTAACACGTAAGGAGTAAAAATGGCAAGATGGGTTCTGGTTTGTTTTGGTTTACTTTCACGACTTGACGGGATGAGTTTTGTTTTACCTGTAAATCTATGGGTGATGGGATGTCGGTTTCCTCCATTTTTGCTGCCAAAGACACGCAAGCTACAGACAGCAACTGGAGCATCCATGGCTTTCCACGCTAGAGACGATGCAAGAAATAACAAACCGGAGAAAAAATTAATGGATTTGGCATCACTAATTACAGGTTCTAAAAATGGAAAAACGCCCATTTTCTCAATCAGGGTTTTGTGATGGCTTACTTGAAGTTCGTACTGCGATAAGAATCGATCCAGATAATTCACAGATAAACAAACAGTCAATGGTTCGAAGTTGAAATGGCGATGAACCTTCAGAATACCACAGGAACTCACATGAGAAAATAGAACCACCAGAAAAGAAAAATAAGTGAAACAGGAACGAAAAAGATCGATATTTTCGACCGAAAAATCCAAAACCCACCTTGTAAATCCAGTCAACCGAGTCATTGCGAGCAGAAACGTCGAGGTCTCCGGAATGAAGCCTCGTCAAGTAATCCTCCCTCGGCATCATTTCTCCTTCTTTCTCAAGAAACGACGAAACTCTCGTGTCATCGAAGCCCGAATCATCGAAGAAAAACATCCGTTCTTTCTGGTTCTGGCGAGACCCGCTCCCGACTTCATCGGCTTCGTCGTCGTCGACGATGAGTTTGCAATCTTCGGCGCAGAGAAGGCCCGAGAAGCAATCCAAGGGCAATGCCATGGAACCCTTTTCGTCTCAGAATGGTTGCTTAGCCTTTCAAGAATCTGCCATTAAAGCTCTCGCAGAGCTCAAGAAAAATCGCGGCAGAGCAGAGAGAGAGAGAGTGCGTTGTATTTGTGGGAAGGGCAAGCCCGAGTTTCGGGGCGAAAAGAGGAATGGTCTGATAGGGGGCGTCTCAATTAAAGCTTGCTTTTGCGAGCTTTGATTAAGGGAATGTGATTAATTAAATCATTTTAATGAAAATGAGGCTTAAGTACAATGTGGGTACTCTTCATGTGTCGTCATGCGGACTTAAGTTAATCTGCTGCCACGTAACCATAATTTTGTCTATTAATTTTTCTTTAACTACGTGTCATCCATTTGAGGTGGATCTCCATGCCTTTCTCGCGAGGAGATTATCATTGGATTAGTACTCGCTAATCCAAGTTGAATCTTATCAGTCTTATTGAGACATTGACTCTCATCGGCTAACTGTTAATTGCTTGGATTTCTAGGGTTAATGAATAATGATCAGTTAAAGATGTCTACAGGTTTCCTTTTTTGTGTTGGGTACAAGAATTTAGGGCCATGAACATATCAAGTGGTTTAGATTATGCCACGTGTAATGTATGTACGATGGAGAACTCGCAAATGGATTGACAATGGCTGTGAAGTTATTTGATCATGACCGTTCGATGAAAAAGGGTGAATTGACTAAACTATGAAAAATGGCGGCAACAGCCTCTAGGAGCAGCGAAAACTGAAAAGAGAATTCGCGGGGAGCATCTGAATGACCTAATTTTTTGATTTTTGTGTCATTTCTGTAACATCTTAGGAAGTACTTTTGTGCAGAACTGCGAAATAAGAAAATACTTTCAAAATTAATAAGATAGGAGAAAAATACTTAAAGCTCCCATGTATTTTGACCCCAAGACTCTGTTTGTTTGCGGTGTGCAATTTAATTTGCATGAGAGTGTAAATAAGAAAAGACGTAAATTCTGCTCCATTTTTTGTTTCTTTTTTTCACTTTTATTTTGTTTTGGGTTTTATTTTACTATCTTCACTACAAATCCATAGAATTGTTCTCGCATGGTTCTGAAAACCGAACGGACCGGACGGTTTGACCTAGGAATTGATTATGACTGTAGGTTCGGTTTTGGACACTAAAATCGTCTGACCAGAGATTTGGACCAGATGGTTGGACCATTCAACTTAGGAATTAGTGATCAGAATGGTTCCATTTATAATCTATTTTTTAATGATATGATTCTCCCCTATTTTGTTTTAGGGTCCTGTTCATTTTTTTCGGGAAGCTACTTACTGGGGTAAGTGATACCTAGGAAAAATAAATTTTCTATGAACCTCACATACATTTGAAAAAAGATTATGGGTATCTTTGGTGAATGGGAACCAAAATCCAATCACTTTTCTCCCTCTCAAAATCTGAATAACGAATTGGCCATTACAAGAAAAAGAAATTCCGATGATACTCAAAATAGAGATCATTGTATCTAGTAATTGTTCTCCCCTTTTTTTCATTTTTTTTTCTTTTTTTTCCTAAAAAGTCATAGAATTGTTCTCCCCTTTTTTCATTTTTTCTTTTTTTACCTAAAAAGGCATAGAATTGTTCTCCCCTATATTCCGTCAAGAGAAAGAAATTCTGATAAAGTTCAAAACAGGGATCATCATATCTAGTAAATAGAATTGTTCTCACTTATTTTGTTTTTAGGCTGTTTGGTTGCAATGAAATTTTATTTGTAGTAGTACAAATGAATGGGAGTGCAAATGAAAAAAAATATGCAAATTTTCATTTATTCATTTTGAGTGTTTACTTTATTCCACTTCATGCCTTAATTTACTTCATGTGTACTACGATCAAACAAGATAAGCTAAAATTTGAAACAACAATAGGTCAAAATATTTACAGTCAAATCATTTGCACTATCGTAATTTTATATCAATGTAAATTTATTTACACTGCAACCAAACGCAGCCTTAGGTTTTATTTTCCTATCTACACTATAAAGTCAAAATTAGCACTCTTATATTTTTGTACCAATGCAAATAATTTTACATTAAAAGACATTTCAATTAAATATGCAAATAAACTATTTCCCTTCATTGTCTAATTATCTTGACGGAAAATGTTAATGTAATGCTTTAAAGTGTTGTTTTCTCTCTTTCACAAAAACTTTACTACAACAAAAATTTATCAAATTACCTCTAAATAGATGATTCACTTTATTTAAACATGTTTCATTATTCACGCTTCATTGACATTGAGTAAATAATAAAGGCCAAGTTGGAGTTTCACTTAAATCTCTCCTATTACTAGAAATGTTAGACAATCAAGAGAGGAAACAACAGTATTCATTGCATAGATTTACAACAAGGGCATAATTATAATTTCAATGCCTCTATTACAAGGTAATTAACAAAGTAGGGTGTCAATTGTATTCAAAAATCCGATTTTGAATTCGAGTTGATATAATCGAATCGAATTCAGATAATTTGAATATTTAATCGGTAAAATTTATATATTCTATTCATATCGAATAGTTGGATTCGAATTCAGATATGATCTAATTATATAAATAATTTATATATTTATATGCTTTATATAAATAAAAAAATTCTAGTTGAATTCAAATTCAGATATTATCTGATTCGATTCAAATTTAATCCATTTACAACCCTACATAAAAGGTGTAGTTGCATATGTTTTGAAGAGACTAGATCTAATCCCAACAAGGGTCACACCAATAGGTCCTAACAGCCATTACAGTTGTACATTGGGCTCAGTTTGGAAGTAGTATAAATACAAATATGTAAAGTGCAAAGTCTTATAAGATAATACAAAATACAAGGCTTTAGACTCTGCATATTTGTATTCATTTGTATTTGTACTCCGTCCAAACTTAGCCTTGGGAATATCTGGACATGGAAGACAAAGATGTTCTCAATGGACATATGCAAAGGCTGTTGTGCCATGATCTGAATTCATTTTTGAATCATGAAGAGAGGTTAAATCCGACTTGCTTGAATAGTAATTTTTGCTTTTGCTATGGCAACATAATAATAGCATGAAAGAGCTACACGGAGCAATTATGGATCAAAGTCCGACCCGAAAACCCGACTGTCAGACTTGGGTCGGGTTCGGATTAATTCATATCAACCTCATTCTGTTTAAAATGACAAAAAAAAAATTCTAATTATTTTAAATTTATAAGTGCACATAAATATAGAATATTGAATGTATCAATTATGAATTGTATATAATATCTCTATAAATACAATAATTTTTATTAGAGTTGGGATTCCATTATTAATTAAATGCAAGTTTTAACATCGAAATCCAGGATAATAAATAAAGTCAAATTGGGCATCAGAGTTTCAGAATCCATTGATAGCCCTATATGAAATAAGAAAAGGATAGCAAAAAAAAAAACAGAAAAAATGCAACTAAAGGATAACTTATTCGACTCCTACAAGAGCTGAAAAAAAAATCCCCTTTTCTGACCTTTTATACTACCTAAATGATCCATTGATGCCTTGCTACTAGGGTGCAAATGGCCCTACTCATGATTCCAATTGAATTCGAATTCAATTCTACTTTATTAGATTTAGATATTCCCCTCTTGGAATATCTAATGAGATGCATTTTCCTAATAACCTAAATAATCACTTCTCTAAAGTTTCTCCTAAACTACCTCCCAAACTTTTTCCAAAATTATCTCTAATTTAGTAGAGAGTTTCTCTCCTAAATTATCTCTAATTCCTATTTATCATATCCCTTACGTTTTATCTACATCTATCTAAAGAAAGTTTGGATTAAAAAGTTTAAGAATTATTTAAATATTCTAACAAAACTATATAATAATTTTAAAATATTTATTAAAAATATAAAAAATAATTTTATATTTTTATAAAATATATCACAAATTATATACAAACAATTCAAATTATTATTTTCTGGATTATCAATTTAAAAGTTTTTTCAAATATTTAATAATATCTAATAGTTTTAAATAAATAAAATTCAAATAATAAAAAATTTTAAATATTTTATAAATTATTTAAATAACTAGCTTTTAAATAGTTCAAATAACGAAATTATGTAATAGATTTAAAAATTTTCTTCAAAGTAGAAAAATAATTATAACATAATATTGAAATTAATAATAATTTAATATATTACAAAACTAATAATGAAATTATATAATAATAGTATAAATTATGATTTTATGAATAATCAAAGTCAATAAATAATTAATATTTTAAATTTAAATGATTTAGATATTATTTAAGTGTTTAAAAAACTAAATATTTTAAATAACAAAATATTTAACATAACTAGATTTTAAATAGTTAAAATAAAGAAATTATATAATAAATTTAAAAAAAATCTGAAAATAAGAAAAATAATTATAACATATTGTTGAAATTAATAATAATTTAATATTTTTATATACTATTTTAAATAACTAATTTCATTTATATCAAGTAATAATTCAAGAAAATAACTTTTAAAAAAATTAATATTTATTAATAATAATAATTTTAAACTCTTAATATGTATTTTTTATATAATTATAAAATTAATATTTATTCTATTCCAATAATTATTTATTGTTTTTTGTGACAAAAGTATTTTCAATGATTATTGATGGTAACTGTTTCTGGTCACGTACCAATTTTTTGTGATGTATCAATTTTTTGTTGGCTAAGTGCCTTGTCATTTGACCTACTCCCAGGAGAGGATGGTGGAGCTCCCTGGTGGTGAACTGCCTAGTGGTGAGCTACTTCGTGACGAACTCCCTGGTGGTGAGCTACCTAGTAGCGAGCTACTTGGTGACAAGCTCCATGGTGGTGAGCCACCTGGTGACGAGCTCCCTAGTGGTGAGCTACCTGGTGACGAGCTCCCTGGTGGTGAGCTACATGGTGACGAGCTCCCTGGTGGTGAGCTACCTGGTGACGAGCTACTTGATGACGAGCTCCCTGGTGGTGAGCTACCTGGTAACGAGCTCCCTGGTGGTGAGCTACATGGTGATGAGCTCCCTGGTGGTGAGCTACCTGGTGATGAGCTACTTGGTGACGAGCTCCCTGGTGGTGAGCTACCTGGTGACGATCTCCCTGGTGGTAAACTACTTGGTGACGAGCTCCATGGTGGTGAGCCAC